GAACGGAAATGGACATGCCCAAAGCCGTCTAAATGATGTTCCAACCCAGTACCGAAAATTAGGAAAAATATTGTACAGCAACAAAATACGTATGACGCCCAGTCAATACTGGAACAACAGTACCAACAATTTATGAAATGCAACAACAACTCCAGCAACAGCAGCAGCAGCAATTCTTTTTGTGGCTACAGCAGAAGCAACAGGAACAACATCAGCAAAACAAGCAGAACAATCAACGACTTCAACGGCATGACAAACATGGTTTTCGAAATGGCCAACATGATTAAGCAATGGACTGGGGGTAGATTAACTTTCCAGCTCCACAACCACGCTTCAGCCTCACAATAAATCCTCTCAAGATTCTTATCTGGAATGCCAATGACATTTCAGGTAAAGCCAGAGAAGTTGAACTATTCGCGCACAACAACAGCGTTGACATCCTTCTCTTAAAACAGTTAAAATATATGGTTATGCCTTCTATCCAGCGAATAAACCATCAAGTCACAATCATGGCCACGGAAGTGCGGCAGTATTGGTAAGGTGTACTCTCCGTCATTTCCCACAAAAAGTTATTGAAACTCCAACCATTCAGATGTCCTCCATTAAAATTGCCACTGGATTGGGAGACATGGAAGTTAGCGCCATATACTGCCCTCCAAGGAATAGGATCGAGGAAAGGCAATTCACTGCCATTCTTGCTTCTTGCGGCCAAAGGTATTTGGTTGGAGGCGACTGGAATGCCCGTCATTGGATGTGGGGAGACGCATACAATTCACCCAGAGGGCAAGATCTGGTTCAATCTATATCAGCCAGAGGGGTTAAAATTCTTCCCACTGGAATGCCTACCAGATATCCATATATACCAAGCCACACAGCAACTTGCATTGAATTTGCATTATACCATGGAATACCGGATTCCCAAGTAAATATATGCCAAAGCTGGGATGATTTGCAAACAAATGGTGTTAATGTCAGACCAAGTCCTCGGTTAATCACAAGTCAGACTTTCAAAGAGCATCTTGAGCGCTCCTTTGAACTAAATTCGACTCTGGACTCTATAGAAGACATTGAGCACGCAGTAGATATTCTTATTGATAATAATGCTCCTCGTCCCATAAGTTATGGCATTGTTCTTACAAGGGAGGCCAACTAATCACAAGAAAAAGGCGCATTCGTAGAAGAGCTATCCGTTCTCAAGATCCTGAGGACCGAAACATGTGGAACCAGGCAGCAAGACAACTCCGAACACTTTTAAGGGAAATCAGAAGTGATTTCTTTGAGCAAAAACTGTCCTCCATGGGCTACACCGTTAATGCAAACTATTCGCTATGGAAGTGCACAAAATCGCTCAAAAGACAACCCTTTAGACAAGTCCCCACCCGATGTCCTGGTGGTGAACTAGTAAAAAATGATTTGGAGCAGGCCAATGCTTTCGGTCTTCATTTGGAGGAACGCTTCACTCCTTATGACTTTTCTTCGACAGTGCAGGCTATTGATATCAATTGATATTGCAAACCCCATTGCAAATGTCATTGCCTATTAAGCCTATAAGGATTGAGGAGATAATTGATGTCATCCAAGTATTGCACCGGGTATTGATAGGATTTGTCACGCTACGTTGAAAGCCTTGCCTACTAAAGCGATAATTTAGATAGCATTGATTTTTAATGCTATTCTAAGGGTCCAAGCGTTCCCAAAACAGTGGAAATTAGCTGGAATACTGATGATCCACAAGCCCGGTTACCCAGAAACAAAACCTGAGTCGTATCGCCCCATAAGCCTGCTCCCTGCCATATCCAAAGTGTGGGAGAAGCTCATTGCTAAACGGCTCCGAGAAGTTATTAGACAAGCTCATTTACTTCCGGACCACCAGTTTGGCTTCCTACAGAGCCATGGCACAGTAGAGCAGGTTAACAGACTTGTCTTGCACATCCTGCAGGCTTTTGATAAGCTTGAATACTGCAATGCAGTTTTTATCGACATGCAGCTGGCTTTTGTTAGAGTCTGGCATGACGGCTTGCTCTGTATGCTATCACCTGAAAGCTGTGAAAAAAAAGTGCAATCAATGGATGCAACAATTGCGATGGCTGGTCAACAAAAGGAGTACCATGTCATTGGGGGCAAAGAGAGCTGTGTATGTCTACTGTATAGCCCCAATATGGCTATACGGCATTCAAATATGGGGGATCGCAGCCAAATCTAACTACAAGCAAGTCCAAGTGCTGCAAAACCGTGCAATGAGAAATATATCGAATTGCCCTTGGTATGTGCGTGGGTTCCCCCTCCACAGGGACCTAAATATCCACACTGTAGAGCAGCAGATTAGCAGGTACAGCGACTCCTTAGTCAACGGAAATGACTCGCAAGAAGACTCCTGCCAGCTAGACCGCTCAGACGGCTCAAGAGACTTGGGTTCGCTAAAACAATCAGACTTTCATAAATATGATCTTCAATAAAGTCATTTTGCTGAAGGCATGAGGTTTGGCTCAAATCCATATATAAAACTACATTGTTAAGGTACTTAAAGATTGTACGGGTTCTATGTTTACAAATAAATAATATTAAAAAAAAAAAAAAGTTAATCTACTTGACACAGAAAAGTTTAGCTGACTTACCGGGGCTTTCAAGCTGTCGGGGCCAGCATCGTTCTATGGTTGGTTAAGGAGGGTAAATTAAACAACAGTAGTCTACTAGAATAAGAAGTTAAGTTAAGATTGGCATCAAAGTTTAGGCGCCGTAAAGCAAAAAGAAGAAAGTTTTGTTGTACTGATTCAATGCGACCAATATGTATTCCGGACCAATATGTCTCCAGACGGAAGACCCATACTCCAGAATCGGACGGACTAGCGAAATAATTAAAGTTTTAGTGACATAAGAATCATCGAATTCTTTTGACCACCTTTTAACAAAACCAAGCACTCCTCTGGCTCAATTAACCATGTACGAAATGTGATTTAACAAGAGAGAACGCTATAGTCGGGTGCCCCGACTATCAGATACCCGTTACTCAGCTGAAGGGAGTGCGAGGGAGATGGAGATAGAAACTTTGATCACGCATAACTTTTTAACGAATGGTCCGATTTGAAAAATTTCTTCTACATTTCGATAGGTATTTATAAACACAATAAAACTGCATTTTTACTTTTCCGAAATATTTAAATTTTTAAAATCGTATATAAGCGATTGTGGGCGTTAAAGGGGGCGTGGCACCTTTTTGAAACTCCTAGAATCTGCATGCAAAATGCCAATCTTCTAGCTTTTATAGTTTCCGAGATCTCAGCGTTCATACGGACGGACAGACGGACAGACGGACATGGCTATATCGACTCGGCTAGTGACCCTGATCAAGAATATATATACTTTATAGGGTCGGAAACGCTTCCTTCTAGCTGTTACATACTTTTGCACGAATACAATATACCCTTTTACTCTACGAGTAACGGGTATAAAAAGGACCCTTTGTGACCTGGCATTCAGATAACTTGAGAAACATATAAGAGGATAAACTGAGCCGGTTGATCACACTCAGTAGTTCCTTGTGGCGGTGTAGCTACATTTTAAAGGATAGGTGGATCCACTAATTGTAAAACTACAGCGGACGAATCGGAATTCTTTGAAGTCCCTCGTTGAATGCATTACTTCGGATACCGAATCTTTTTTAGCTGCTGATCTTAGCAACATTTTAAGGTTTGCTGCAATCAGCTGCTGATCCGCCAAAATGCTCTGTTGCCCTGTTTTTTTTTTGCTGCTTGTCGCCAGCGGTTTTTTTGCTCTTAGGGGACTCTTCTAATACCTTACGCCTATTAATCTGCGAATCCAGTGCAGAGAGGAGATCATCAGCTCGGCGAAAACTATCTCTAGCAACTCCGAAATAGCTAATCAGCCCCATCAAGCCGCCTTCAGCTTGGCGCATGAACGATTTCATCTCGTTCGCAACCACTACACAAGCGTCACAGCAGAACTGCAAATTGGGCACATTTGAATGGTCATCACTTGTCCGACCAGTAAAACCAGCGCACTTGGTGTGCACCATGTTTTCACACAGCCAGTCATGCCCTAATTACGAGGCTACATTTTTTGCAGAAGCAGACTTAATTATTGTTACTCATTCTACTTATTAATACTTTTTTAAAATTGGTTTTCTGAATGCAAAACATTTGAAGAATATTGCGTTAAAATTTTAGATTCATCCGAGTAAAACTTCCGAAGTTAAGGGCAGTTGAACGTAGGTGAGCTAGGTCGTTTTGTATGTTCAAAGTAGGGTTGTTGATAAATATATCAAAATATCAATATATCGATAATTTTTCCTAAAAATGATATATTTATATCGTGATTTTTTATTTGCCCAAATATCAGAATTCCGATATTTATACCCTTGCAGAGGGTATTATAATTTTGGTCAGAAGTTTGTAACGCAGTGAAGGAGACGTTTCCGACCCTATAAAGTATATATATTCTTGATCAGGATCAATAGGGGAGTCGATATAGCCATGTCCGTCTGTCCGTCTGTCCGTCTGTCCTTCTGTCCTTCTGTCTGTCTGTCCGTCTGTTTCAATACCGTTTGCGAGCTCAGTTTAAAAGTTAGCGATCTGAAACTTTCACACTCGTCCTAAAACATGTGTACGCAGATCAAGTTTGAAAATCGCCCCGATCGGACGTCTATATCCTATGGCTCCCATAGGAACAATCGGATATATCTTGCAAGAATTGATGATATTTCGCGCAGTGTAAAAGCTATTGACATGAATCTTTCCAAATCGTATTTTTTTATGCATACCTTGATCAGGGTAAAAGCGCGTGGCGATCGGACGGAGAAAGGGATTAATTAAATACCAAATATCAAACCAAAATAACTGGCGCTCAACGTAACCGATCCCGCGATACTCGGTACCGTGCGAATTACAAAAAGTAATTTGCAATTCAAAAGTATTAAAAATACTCGCGCGACACCGTGCAGTGAATTTAAAAAAATAATAATAAATAAATAATTAAATTGCCTATAAAATAAAATAGAAAAAACGGCAAAATAAATAAAGCAAATAAAGCATCGATATTGGCAGCAGAGACATATAAAATTAAACGCTAAGAAATCAGCGACGGGAAATAAAGGGGAACACAAGACCTCTCACCCGCCACCCGAGAAACGACAACGACGGCAGCAGCAGCAGCAACGACAGCAGCAACAACAACGACAACTGTAGCGGCGACAGAGACGACTGCAACGGCGGCAGAGACAACAGCGGCGACAGAGACAACTGCAGCGCCGGCAGAGACAACTGCAGCGACGGCAGAGACGACTGCAGCAGAAAAGGCGGCAGAGAAGGCAGCGCGTGCAGAACCAACAAATAAAAAATCTCGACGGCGGAGTAACCATAAGAAATGTGAGTAGGCTTCTTGTCTTTTTTTCACTCGCCAATAAATAAAGTATTCGGAGAGCTAAAATTGCCGGTAAAGTGGGCACATTATTATTTTCCCCACACAAATTTTTTTATTTTTAATTAATAAATAAATAATAAAGTATTCGGAGAAGTAAAATTGCCGGTACAGTGGGCACATATTATTATTTTCCCCACACAAAATTTTTGTTATTTGTGAACAAATTAATTATTAATTGCCAAGTGAAACAAGGAGTGTTTTTCTGGAAATATTAAAATATTAAAATTATAATAAAATCTATTAACGGTGGGAGCATTAGTATTCCCCGTGTATTAAATTTTTATTTCAATTAATAAAATAAATTATTAATTAAAACAAATTTTTCAAGATATTTAAAAAAACAATTTTTTTTTTAAATTACCATTCCCACATCTAATTGTCGGAGTGAGAAAACATTAAAACTCATCTACAAAATATTCAGGAAAGCTCTTGATCGGATTTCGTCGCACCCATAGAAACTGGTGCTACACATTTTTATTTGAAATTTTTTTCTCTCTTCTACTGTCGTTGTGGAAAAAAAATAAATATTGAAAATAAATTATTCTCATGAAATATTTCGAAATACGGACCTATGTATAGGGTTAACGAGGGGGTTTCATCAGACGAGGAGGTTCTCGAGGAATATAGGAAACTCTTAAATACAAACGTAAAAAATAAAAATTACCAACATTCCGAGGCAGATTGCCCATCTAGCAGTAGGGCAGTATTCATTCGAGACAGCGTTCTCAACGTCACAAACCCAGAAACCCAGCAAGAAGCACAAGATATGCAAGCAGAACAGATTGCAAATATGGAGGCCGCCATAGCTGGCGCACTCCAAAAACAACAGCAGCTATTTGATGAAAAATTAGCCGCAATTGTAGGGGAGTTAAACTCATTAAAAGTTAAGGATAATGTTCCACGAATCCAAACATTCGAAGAAATTAAATTAGAACCACAAAGAGTACGTTGTGACGAACCTCTTGACATGGTCAAGTCAGTCCCAGAATTCGACGGTAAACAAGAAAATTATGTTTGCTGGAGACAAGCTGCCACCGCAGCCTACAAAGTATTTGAGGGCTATGAAGGCAGCAGCCGACATTATCAGGCTGTCGGAATACTGAAAAACAAAGTAAGGGGACCAGCGGCTGCCGCGCTATCCTCTTTCAACACGGTATTCAATTTTCATGCCATACTGGCACGCCTAGACTTCACGTATGCGGACAAAACTCCGACACACGTAATTAAACAAGAATTAAGCTTGTCAAGGCAGGGGAACTACCTCTGCTCAAGTATTACGATGAAATAGAACGGAAGCTAACGCTTCTAACTAACAAAACTATCATGACACACGACGCAGCCGCAGCGGCCGTCCTAAATGAACAACACAGAGAAGACGCTTTGCATGCGTTCATATCTGGGTTAAAAAAATCACTGAAAATAGCCGTCTTTCCGGCACAGCCACGGGACTTGCCATCAGCATTAGCGTTAGCGCAAGAGGCTGAATCAAGTAACGAAAGGAGCATATTTGCGGCTACCTTCGCCCGGCACAGTGAAGAAAAATCATTTAAGCCGAGCAACCAGCGACAAGCAGGTTGGAAAAATTATGAGCAGAACCAAAATCAAGGGGCAATAAAAAAAAACCCCACTTCGTTAGGACCCAGAAAGGAGCCAACAACCAAAATGGTTCTTTCCGTCAGAAGCCATATAATAGCACAGGGAATAATCAGGGCCAGCCAACACCAGAGCCAATGGAGGTTGATACCTCCTCCAGATTTAGGCAGCCCACAACATGGCAAAAAGGGCAGTCGGCCCGGTTTCAACAAAAAATAAACTTCATGCCGGAGGAAAAACCCGACGACGAAGATTATGACTCCATTGCCCAGGCCTGCGCTACTGAGATGGAAGACGAGTTAGACGCAGAGGACTCCTGTAATTTTTTAGGGTAAAGTCCCTGCTCCCCTACATTACGCGTAAGGTAGCAGGAAGTGAAATAAAACAAGAGAGAACGCTATAGTCGGGTGCCCCGACTATCAGATACCCGTTACTCAGGTAAAGGGAGTGCGAGGGAGATGAAGATAGAAACTTTGATCACGCATAACTTTTTAACGAATGGTCCGATTTGAAAAATTTCTTCTACATTTCGATAGGTATTGATAAACACAATAAAACTGCATTTTTACTTTTCCGAAATATTTAAATTTTTAAAATCGTATATAAGCGATTGTGGGCGTCAGAGGGGGCGTGGCACCATTTTGAAACAAACTTGCGCTGCGTAGGAACTCCTAGAATCTGCATGCAAAATGCCAATCTTCTAGCTTTTATAGTTTCCGAGATCTCAGCGTTCATACGGACAGACAGACAGACAGACAGACGGACAGACAGACGGACAGACGGACAGACGGACAGACGGACAGACGGACAGACGGACATGGCTATATCGACTCGGCTAGTGACCCTGATCAAGAATATATATACTTTATAGGGTCGGAAACGCTTCCTTCTAGCTGTTACATACTTTTGCACGAATACAATATACCCTTTTACTCTACGAGTAACGGGTATAATTACTACTAGATACAGGCACTTCCAAAAATTATATCACTCCACTCCCGGGGCTAAAAGGCATCGTGGCGGCGGAAAAACCTTTCACAGTGAAATCAATACATGGCTTCACCAAAATAGACAAAAAATGTCTAGTTTCAGTTTTTAACGTAAAAACACCCTTTTTTATATTAAATAACCTTAAAGACTTTGACGGTATTATCGGGCTCGACTTGCTTAAACAAGTGAATGCGAAACTCGATTTTACTGGGAATATCCTGCTTACAAACAATGGAACTGAAAAGATCCAGTTTACTAAAGCAGAAAACGTTAACTTTATAAAAATCGATGATGAGGATGTTCCCCTGGCAATTAAAGCCACCTTTGACAAAATGATTGTAAAAAATCATAGGGCCTTCGCCGACCCAGACGAAGCATTGCCGTTTAATATAAACACGATCGCCACGATTAAAACTGACGGGGAGCCGGTGTACTCCAAGTCGTACCCGCATCCCATGGGTGTAACCGAATTCGTCAATGCAGAGGTTAAACAACTTCTTGCGGACCGCGTAATAAGGCCATCCAAGTCCCCATATAACAACCCTACCTGGGTTGTAGACAAAAAAGGCACAGACCAAAATGGCGTTAAGAAGAAGCGATTGGTTATCGACTTTAGGAAGTTGAATGAAAGAACCGTAGATGATAGATACCCTATCCCTACAATTTCGACAATACTGTCGAACATGGGCGAGTCACAATTCTTTACGACATTCGACCTCAAATCAGGTTTTCACCAGATAGAGCTGGCGGAGAAGGGCAGGGAAAAGACTGCCTTCTCTATAAACAACGGCAAGTACGAATTCTGTAGATTGCCATTCGGACTTAAAAACGCCCCAAGCATATTTCAAAGGGCCATCGACGACGTGCTTAGAGAAGGAATCTCTAAGTTATGCTACGTGTACGTATATGACGTCATAATATTTTCTAAGACAAAAGAGGACCACGTTAAAGACGTGGATTGGGTACTAACCAAACTCCTGGAAGCAGGCATGAGAGTATCCCAGGAAAAATCAAAGTTCTTTAAAAAGAGCGTTGAGTACTTGGGGTTCATTGTGTCACAAGGGGGCTTAGAACTTCACCTGAAAAGGTAAAAGCCATAAAGGAATTTCCCCAACCAAAAACACTTTTCGACCTCAGATCCTTCCTGGGGTTAGCAAGCTACTACAGGTGCTTTATCAAAAACTTCGCGACAATCGCAAGACCCCTGACAAACATCCTAAAGGGAGAAAATGGGAGAGCCAGCAAATACCAGTCAAGAAAAATTGACATAGATTTCACCAAAGAACAGAGAGAAACTTTTGACAGACTAAGGGAAATCTTGGCGTCAGAAGATGTTCTGCTCTCGTATCCAGATTTTAAGAAACCATTCGATTTAACAACGGATGCATCGGGCTTTGGTTTGGGGGCGGTGCTATCCCAAGATGGCCGCCCAATCACAATGATTTCACGTGCCCTACGTGACTGCGAAAAAAATTATGCGACCAATGAACGAGAACTCCTCGCCATTGTTTGGTCACTAAAAAACCTCCGGAATTACCTTTACGGAGTAAAGGCTTACAGATTTTTACCGATCACCAGCCACTAACCTTTGCTGTCTCGGACAAAAATCCCAACGCGAAGCTAAAACGTTGGAAGGGGATTATTGATGATCATGGCGCAAAACTAGTTTATAAGCCAGGCAAGGAAAACCTTGTGGCGGACGCATTATCCCGCCAGAACATAAACGCCTTAGAAGACGGACAGGAATCAGATGCAGCCACAATACACAGCGAACAGTCGCTTACGTACACGATTGATACAACTGACAACCCAGTAAACTGTTTCCGAAATCAAATAATAATTGAGGACGGAAACAGCTTCTCGGTAGACACATTTATCTTGTTTAAGAGTAAAGTTAGGCATACAATTAGAACACCTAATCGGGAAAACCTTCTAAATGCACTACAAGATGTCGTAAACGCTGAGGTAGTAAACGCAATTCACTGCTCCCTACCAACTTTGGCATTTATTCAACATCAGCTGGTCGAGTCGTTCCCTAGCACTTCCTTCAAGTACGCGAAGAGCTTTGTTAAGGACATAACGGACACAACCGAACAGAGGGAGATCGTCATAACAGAACACAACAGGGCTCACCGAGCCGCACAGGAAAATGTGAAGCAAATCCTTAGAGATTACTTTTTCCCAAAAATGCTTCGGCTAGCAACGGAAATCACATCAAACTGCAGAACCTGCTCTATGGGAAAATACAAACGCCATCCATCTAAGCAGGCGATAGCGGAAACACCTATTCCTTTTTCCGTGGGAGAAATCCTACACATCGATATCTTCTCAACAGACGGAAAACTTTTCCTCACTTGCGTAGATAAATTCTCGAAATTCGCAACAGTGCAAGCCATCGCATCGAGGGCTATTGTGGACATTAAAGCCCCCTTACTACATGTAATAAATTTTTTTTCGAAAACAAAAACAATCTATTGCGATAATGAAAGATCACTAAACTCTGAAACCATTAAATCAATTTTGCTTAACCACTTCAATATCACCATTTCCAACGCTCCACCCCTGCATAGCACCTCAAATGGGCAAGTGGAGAGGTTTCATAGTACTCTGGCAGAAATAGCCAGATGCCTGAAACTGGAAAACAAACTAAACGACACTGTCGAATTAATCCTTTTGGCAGCTTACAAATATAACAATTCAATTCACTCAGTAACCGATAGGAAACCAATGGAAATAGTTCACTCAAAGTCCACAGAATTCGAGAGAGGAATTAGTAGGAAAATTCAACAGGCCCAAGAAAGGAGCCTTGACCACGTAAACAAGGGTAGGACTTATAAGGACTATCAGGTCGGTGAAAGAGTTTTTCTTAAAGCAAACAAACGCCTGGGAAATAAACTCTCATCGCTATGTTCGGAAGAAGTTATTGAAGCAGACCTGGGGACAACGGTCCTAATTAGTGGGAGGGTGGTCCACAAGGACAATCTGCGCTAATCATCTTCGCTAGATTCCCGACCCATTTTTATACTTTTTATATTTTGTATTCTTTTTATTCTTATATTCCTTTTTTACAACTTTATATTTCTCTAGGTTAGGAAGGTGCATTTTACTTTTGGCACTAACGGCTGTTAGGACGGACGCGACAGTAAAACTGAACGACTATACGAACGCAGACTATATTCCAATAGAGGACGGTAGCATAGTAGTTTGGGAATCTTACGGAATCTTACAGCACGCAACGAACATGACGACCTACGAAGACTACGCCGACCAGACTGAAACATTGACGAGGACTTTTACTGACGACCATAGAATACCGGTTATAACAACAGACCTTAAGCACATTCGCAAGTTGGTAGCTACCCTAAATATCCATCATAGGTCCGCTAGAAGTATAAACTTAATTGGGACAGCTTTAAAGGTCATTGCAGGCACTCCCGACTTCAATGATTGGGAACAGATAAAATTCAATCAAGAGCAACTAATGAACGCAGACGAGGGGCAAACTGAATTAAATATTAAATTTCAGGAACGTTTGAACGAACTCGCGAGCGCAATGAATCAAATTCAAAAGTTTGAAACCAATAAAGAAACACACCTCTTGGAAATCATTTTGGCAAAAAATAGAATCGTTATCACAGATCTGGAAAATATCCTAATGGGCTTAACCCTAGCAAAATTAAATATTGTAAGTCCGGCAATTCTAGATAGCTCCGACATTGGCGAATTTAGGGACAAGCAGCCTATTAACATTAGTTTAATAGAAATATTAGAAGTATCTAGTATAAGTGTTTTTCAAAATTTCGATATCCTCCATTTTCTTATTAAATTTCCTAATCCTAAGTTCGTATGTAAAAAGATAACGGTCTACCCGGTCCAGCACAACAAAAAAATACTGGACTTTGAAAAAGGAAACCTAGTCGCTGAGTGCCCAGGGCGAAATCTCAACATCGGATACTGCAAGACGACGGTTGGCGCCACCTTCTGCAGGGAGCTGCAAAATGGTACTTGTGCCCAGCAACTAGTTTCCGGAGCCACTGCGCACTGCTCCACGCTTCCAGGGCATCTGGATCCAGTTACGGTAGTAGATCACGGCACCCTCATAGTGAACGAGGCCAACATGACCATAACCGACGACCAAGGACGGGACCAAAAAATATCTGGGACCTACCTGGTAACCTATTCCGACAGAATAAGTCTCAACGGAACTTGGTTCATAAATCAGCTGGGAAACTCGATGAAAAAACCCGCCGTATCGGCCATGGCCGTTGTCAACGTCACGGCACACCAAAACCGGCTAAGTCTCCCATTTCTCCACGAGCTGAGCCTGAGAAACCTTCACCACATCGGGACCCTTAGAGAAGAGCTTTCCTTGGGCTCCCTCCTCAGCTACTCCATCACCCTACTCGCCTCCTTCGTACTGTGTTCCACTGTTTGGCTCGGCTACCACCATCTGAAGACCAGGAGCCCCGTCAAATCAGGGGCTAATGGTGACGTAGAAGCAGCAGGTCACCGGGACGGCGACCACTTAAAAGAGGGAGAAGTTAACACACCCAGTTCCCACAAAGACAAATTGTCGAGTTGCAGGCCATATCCGGTGGCCAACACGCGCAGTAAGGAAACCGCCGACTCCGCACTCCGAGGGCAGTTGCCCGGAGCCCGGTCAGAGCACTCGCGGAGCGAGTGATCGCCACCGGCCGGATATCTGCTGCTGACCTGGCGCTTTATTTCTGGCGCTGGGAACACTTACTCAGCGGATGATCGCCACCGGCCGGATACCAAGTGCTGACCCGGCACTTTAGCGGCAGCGCTGCGACCAGGCAAAAGCCTCGAGCCGCGGCCGGACCGGGACCTTAAGTTAGTCTAAATTTGTACTCCGCAGCCTTAGCTGTGTTTTGTAAATCAAGTATTGTTTATCCTCTACCTTAACAGGTTTAGGAGTAATAAATAATAAACTTAATATCGCACCGTGTCTTTATTATCCTCTGCCTTAACAGGTTTAGGAGAAATAGGGATTAATTAAATACCAAATATCAAACCAAAATAACTTATATGTAGGATTTCTACCGAAATCTGTTTGCTGAAATTATTTTGTTGCGTGCCGCAAGTACTGAACCAGTGGCAAAGGTCGCCCCAATAAGTACAGAACAAATTGGGCTGCGGAGAAGTGAATACGTCAAGATTTCTTTTCGTACTAATTTTATTGAGCATGGATCCGGGTTTATATAGATGATTTGGGTTTACAAGGATATTTACTTAGGTCTAGTTTAGATAAAATGGACAACAAGGTTTATTATCAGTTTACAGCAATAATAGCCTAAATAAGCAATTACATCTCCGAGATGGTCGGGCTAAAATTACCCAAGGGTTATGACAGATGGTGTGAAGGCACGTCCGTCGGCTGGGTGCATATGGTTTATGACCCGTTATCACATGCAGATGTGCACAGACCAGGATATCAGCTACATATTTATTTAGGTCAAAGTAGCTATCAGCAACGAACGAAATTCTGCTAAGTCGAAATCGTACATACTCCCGGCCGTTGAACTGATGTTCAACAATCGTTAATGTTGATCGTGAAGGGCTAGATCGAAGAACCGTCTCTATTTACAGTTGTGGTCGGCATCTGATTCAGCTGAAGGTTATTTCTAGGTTTTCCCCATTTCTTTATAACATGAGTAATGACAATGATTATTATAAAAAGTAATGCAATATAAATAGCAATATGATGATGTTCAATAGTCTCAAGATTATGTGGTAATTTAAAACTATTGGGAGGAAAGAGTTGCGCTTCTCGTTGATACAACTCTTTGTATCCTTCGAACTTGTAGAGGTAGATCTTGTTGAATTCAGTCGTAGATTTTCAGTGAGTTCACCTTCTCCATAGCGAGCATACGATGTACGTAATTCGGTTTCGAGCACATCTTGACTTGTAACTGTCATTAAGGAATTTCGAATGGTGCATCCAGGCTTTGCAATCATAAATCCTGAACCCTTTAAATTTATATTAGAGGTTCCGTCTAAGCAAACTGCAGATAATGTTAGCGTGGATCTTGTTGTAAAGATCCATTAATTTCTGGCATGTGTTCTTAACCAGACAAAAGGTCTTTCTGCCTTTATTAAGTTGCAAGAAGAATCCGTTTTATTATGAAACATTTGCATTTCACAGTTAGTTTCCGAAGAAAACATTTCTTGTTTGTTATAACATATAAAATCATCCTTTGCTCTTTCTTGACAAGCTTTAAAATCATTTTCCGACATCTCAAAGTATTCATCTCGATGACTGTTGATTGCGATATATGGTGTCTTAATTGCAAACATACTGATTCCATCTTCAGTCAAAAATGGAATTGGTGTCAATCTATAGATGTCCAAAATCTGAGTAGACACCAAAGGCAATTTTACTCTCATGATAACATGCTCCTTTATGATGGTTCCCTCAGCTCTCATCATCTGGTATGCCATTAAAATATTATCAGGAGAGACTGGAAGCGTTTGCCCAGGCTTCAAATGGTTGCGTATTTGTTCTAACTGATCCTTTAATTGCCTTGGTGACAGCAACATTGGGCTTATTGTGTTATGCCGAATATCTGTTAAAACGTTTACGATCTCTGTTTGCATTCGTTGCAGACTAGAAGCTAATAGAGATAGTTGAGTCGCAAGTGTTATATACCATGAAAATTTATTAAATCTACTTGCAGTACCAGTAGTTTCTGCAATATAATTTTCTAATGATTTAAACCGCTTGGAGTTTGAGATTTCATCCCTTTTAATGACATTGATTGTAGAGTCAATCAAAGACGTTTGATTTCTCAGCTTCTCATTAGCTTTAACCTTTGAGATCGTTTGCACCATTTTATCCGCGTACGTGGAGTCTAATACACCAAAAAGACTATTGGCAATATTTCCAACGATGTCCAACGGTGCTCTTTGCTGACGTGACTTTACGATCAGCATGTTTTCAGCTTGAAGATCCTCTTCGATGTGTTTAAAATGCTGATACATGCTTGTACATGCCTCTGTTTCGGGAAACTGTTTTTCATACGTGTCCAATTTTTGTAATGCCCATTGAAAAGGTACTCATATCCTTCCAGTAAGGTCGCAAATTGTAGTACACAATTAAAGTCCAATCCGTTTTAGCAAGTTGGCTCATTCCAATCTTTTCAAAAAATATTCCTGGCTTTGAGCAAATTGGGTAATGTTGATTGATTGTGCTGCTACTAAGGGTAGCAGAAGAAGCATAACAACTAATGTCATTGTCAGCGAAGGCAATGCAGAATTTTTAGGCCTCTTTGCTTTTCTTTCATCAGGTGGATTCTCACCTTCCTCTTCGTCAGCTGGATGCTTGTGGAGAGGCTCCTCCTCTGGGAATAATGGGGCGACATGCTGAATATCTCGTTTAAATATTCCTTTACTCGTTTTTACTTCTACAACCCTGACAAAATTATCTTTGCCATGGATTGTCTTAACTATTCGTCCCATTGGCCATTGCAGAACTGGAGTATTATCCTCCTTTATCAGCACTAAAGCTCCTTCCTTTACGTTTGCCGAAGATCTTCTCCATTTTTGGCGATGCTGAAGTTGTTGTAGATAGTCATTTGACCATTGAGTCCAAAACGCATGCTTTAATTTTGATACGGCTTGCCATCTCTGCCCCAATGATTGTGGTTGCTGAGATGGCTCACTGTCTGCCTGTGCGGTTAACGGTTCTCCAATAAGAAAGTGACCAGGGGTAAGTGCCGTAATATCATTTGGATCGCTTGACATCGGAACCAAGGATCTTGCATTCATTATTGCTTCTATTTCCACTATCACAGTTTCTAACTCCTCGTACGTCAAATTAGCTGTAGAAACATTTTTGTGTAATAAATGTTTAGCTGATTTTACAGCCGCTTCCCAAAGTCGTCCAAAATGAGGTGCTCATGGTGGAATAAACTTGAAATTGACGCCTTTATTATTACAACTCTCCACTATAGACTTTCTGGCCTTGTCTGAAAAGATAGCCTCTTCCAATTCCTGAAGCTTATTCCTGGCACCAACAAAATTGGTAGCATAATCGCAGTGAAAGGTCAGACATTTTCCTCGACGACTTATAAATCGACGAAGAGCTGCCAAGAATGCTTCCGTGGTTAAATCGCTAACCAGTTCCAAATGTACGGCTTTAGTCGCAAAGCAACAAAATATTGCTATGTACGCAGTATGTGGCTTCTTTCCACGAATTTTGTAATGAATCTTAAAGGGTCCACAATAGTCAACTCCAGAATTAAGAAACGGTCGAGCTTGTGTGACCCTTAGTGGTGGTAGCTGTCCCATTATTTGCTCCATTAATTTTGGCTTAGCTCTTGTGCATTTGACGCATTTTAAAATGACATTTCGAGCTATGGTTTTTGCCTTTATCGCCCAATATTTTTGCCTTGATGTGGCTAGTAGAGCTTGAGCACTGTGGTGCTTTGTGGATTTTTTCAAACACTAGTTTTACTACAGGATCATTATATGGTAATAGAATGGGATGTTTTGCATCGAATGAAAGTTCAGATGCTTCCAATCTGCCTCCAACTCGAATGAGATCATCCTGATCCAAGAAGGGTGTTAACGCGCTGAGATTGCTATTGCGTCCTACTTCACGTGATTTCTTTAAATATTTGATTTCAGCGCTAAAATTATTTTGCTGAATTAGTCGAAGAACTATTATTCGAGATTGTTCTAATTCTTCAAATTTAACCGTTGCCGTTGTTTCTGATAATTTATTTTTAAAGCGCATGATGTAGGCTACAATTCTTAATAGCTTATCGAACGAATTGCCATGGTTTATACTATAAAGCCAATTCGGACTTCTCGTTGCAGCTAAGACGACTTCTGAGCATTCGTGGTGAATAGCATGCTGTTCTGATTTTGCAGCAACAAATGGTAGTGGCCATAGTCCACCATCAAGGACCATACAAGAACAATGGACCATAGAACCAAAGACTTAAATTGGAGAATTTGGAACTACTTATTCCTCTTGAGGCTATATCTGCAGCGTTGTTTTCCGATGCGATATGGCGCCATTCCCTTTGTAAAGATGATTCTTGGATGGTGGGCTATTTATCCAGGACAACACAATTTCAGAATCAGCTCAAAAATAAGTTGTAGTTCCTTGCAGTGACAATTGCTTCTTTATGGTAGCTGTTAATTGAGCACCTTAAACTGCTGCCTTCAATTCCAATCTCGGGAGTGTGATCGCATTTACTGGGGCTAAACGCGACTTTGCACATAATAATTGTACAGTCACTCGTTTATCCTTGTGAACTGCACGAAGATAAATGGCTGCAGCATATGCATTTTCTGATGCGTCGACAAAAGTGTGTATCTCCTTGGATACCGGAATTTTTCCATCAAAAACATGACGAGGAATTTTAATGTCATTCAACGTTTTTAAGTTTTCCCGGAATTGCTTCCATTCCAACTGTAAATGCGTTGTATTCGAATTTTTCTTTTGTCAAGCCTTGCATAAATATTTTGGCCTTTATGACTACTGGAGAAAATAGTCCAAGAGGATCAAATATTTTGAATATTTCCGAAACTACATCGCGTCTCGTTATTTTGTCTGTGGTCACGGCTTGGGTTTTTCCACAGAGTTTGTCTGTTGTAGGATTCCATGTGATTCCTAATGTTTATACCCGTTATTCGTAGAATAAAAGGGTATAT